GCCCCATCCCACCATGGGGGAGTGAGCGAGCGGCTGCGTGGGGCTTAGCTGCCGCCTGGGGTTAAACCACGGCATACATCTACACACCCAGTGCAGAAGCCAGGCTGTGTTTAAAAGCATCAGCATCCTGCAATAAAAGAAGAAATGCTGCCACAACACTGGTTTGACAACTTTCTTGAAATATTATTCCTTTTGGATTTAAATTGAGTAGTGCTTTTGTTTAGGTTTTTTTTTAATTATGTAACTGAAATGCTGGGTCAATCTAGGAAAGACAACAAAACAAAACACCTTCTGAAAAGCTAGATGCTATTATAGGCTTAACTCACATGTCCAGCCAGTACAAATTTCTGGCACCAGCTTAGACAGGTTTAAATAATCACTAACTAGCCTTAGTCAATTTTTGTTCTTAATTCAAATTTTATTTAGAATTTAAAATTTATAGTTTAAAAAGTATGCACATTCTGTAGGTATAAAAGTTTAAAAAAATACATCGATTTATTGATAAATGCTTCAGGTTAAATTTACATTTTCATACATTATCATTATATTGCAATAATTGTTTTGCATCTTTTAAGATTTATAAAAAATAAATTAATGAGATTGAATAAACCACTTGAAACCATGCTAAAATAATTCCTTAGAAAAGAGGGGTGAAGCTTGCCATAGCAATTCTTAATTCCTTGCCACTGTAAATAAATAACACTTCAATTAAGCGATATAAGGAAGTACAGGTTAGCAGAAAAGCACTTACCCACAGGGTGAACAGAAAGCCAGGGCGGGATGCCAACATTGTACCAAAAAGGTGAAGAGAATCAAGTTCCACCCTGCCAGCTGACAGCGACTCGGTGTTTGACCCCTCAAAACACACAACCCTCTCACTCCCACCCGTCCAAATCCCCCCTTCCTCGCTGGGGGTGACCTGTGAAGGACAAGGAATGACTCGGTATCTCCTTTTGGTTAGAGCCACTATCAAAACATCTCTATGTGATTTGCTAACTATTTTTAATTAAACCAAGGATGCGTTTCCTTAACATAAAATGTTTAATTGCTCACCATAAATGACTAAAGATAAAAGATGATCTGAGGAGATGGCGATAGCTGAATCTAATAAGGTCACAGTGAACTGCAGTCCCACCTAAACTCCCCAGGAGTAGCATCACTCAACCCATTCAACCTCATGTAACAACTCAAGTTCCCATTTTGGGGAGATTAGTTTAAAAACTAAAGACTCAGAGGAAAAAGTAACTGCCTTTGTACAGCATTTGAGTCTTGCATCCCCAGAGCCGCAGCCCTTCAGAGAGGGCTCAAACACATCTAACTACCAGCAGCCAAACGTACCTAAATAAAAATACATGAAATTCTGGAGAGAAGGAAAAAACACCCCACAATATTGAAATGTCAAGAATAAAGTAATAGGTTACAAGGACAAAACCAGAAGTATTTTTTGAAAAGCAAATATCTTCCAGACCTTTTTTTATATAAGGAAACAAACATGGAGGAAAAACCAGACAAATAAAGAAAAAAAAAAATAGAGAAATGGTGGTGGGAGTGAGAGAGAGTTAATAGTCAACAGCTGTGAACCGATGCCCCTGCAACACACAAGGTCATTTATATTAATCATTCACCCTGCCTTCTCTCCAGCCATGTTTCTGTACATAAAAATCAAACACTCTGTTACCCAAGGGGTAAACTTCATCCTGGCATCACTGAACACGTCTTCCCAGAATCAGGGACGTTTCCTAATTCTGAGAGACTTCTCCTTTCCAAAGGTGGCTACAGACACATGCACATTTATACATAGATATATACAAACAAGGTTAGAAAAATATTCAATTTTTGCTTGTTTAAATAATTATTGAAAAGTGTTAATACAGGAATACATTAATATTTGTACAATTAAAACTTTATATATAAATATTATATATATATAAAGCATTTTTCATAGCAGCCATTGCATATATAGTAAAAAGAGTCTATCTGAAGTCCATGCTGCAAAATTCAGGGCAAGCAGCATCCATCCTTTTCCAAGAGGAACACTGTACCGGAGCTAGGGTTTCAGGAATGAGGATTCTGCTATTGCCAACAGCAGAGGTGTTGCTCGATCTTCTGCCAGGTATTGCCCAGACCACCAGTATTTTCAGGGAGAAATGCCACTATGCGGGATCGCCTCACGGTCTCTGAGGTTGTCTCCAACGCCAGAATCAGGCCAACACCTTCTTCTAACAAAAAGGCAGAAATGTAACGGAATGGCTTAAAATTTGTTAATGCAAGGTGGGCCGTGGCCTGGCCACAAGGCGTACAAGGCCACCATCGTTCCTCACGCGGCTGTGGGAAAGCCTGGTGAGGGGCACAGAGGCACCAGGAGGAGGCATCATGCAGGGCAGGATTTAATAACTCATATTTAGCTTGTTTTTGTTGAGTTCCCTTTCCAGGTTTCCTATCAGAGTATCAATACTTTCCTGCAGGTCTTTGAGGTTTGCTCTGTGATCCACCGCAGAGTCTATTGCTTGCATTGTCAAATAGCTCTGAAACGTGTGCTCTCTGGGGATGGGCTGCGGGTGTCTTACCGGGGCATCCGACTCCTCGGCTTTGCTGCTGTCATCCCCGCTCTCTGTGTCTTCCGAAGGGACATCATCGTAGTCTGCTTCACTCAGGCAGTCTTTTGGGTTTAAGAAGTAGTTCTCCCCACAACTACTCCAGTCTCCAGCGTAGCGGTTGCTCGACGGGCTGTCTAGACCTGCTGGCCTTGGTCTGAGTACACCAGACATCTCCGTGCCGCTCAGATTCAGCATCTGAGGTCTCTGCCTCTTGGGTCTCAGGTAATTCAGGGAGGATGGGTGCTCGGGAAATGCATTCAGATGTGCTGGTTCTTTGGCAGGTGAGTGATGTACTAAAACAGAGGAGAAGTTAAACCGAAGTCAGGGTTGAATTTGTACTGCAACAAGAAAAGTCCACGACAGATGCCCACTGTCCTCCCTCAACGTCACACGCTAACAGCATGCATGAATACATGCAAGCTTACAGCCACATTCCACTACTATGTTTTCTGCCACTGTTTAATATAAAATAATTAGAAAAACTACTGTAAAAGCTCAGTTTTGAAGATTCATGCCAGATTCAAACTGCAATGGAGAGAAGCCTATCTAAAAGTAGAAACTCCCAGAGCACCGATTAAATTCGCCACGTGAGTTAATCACCATCCAGCTCTGGGTCAAAGAAAAGCAAAATGCTCACACGCTTCGTCCGGGCTAAAACAGTAACAGAAAGCAGGCAGAGCAAAAGAGGTTAAAACATAACAAAAATACCACCACGGAGAAACACCTAGAGAAGCTCAACACATACCAAGAGTTGAACTCTTGTGTTTCTCTCTTGCCCTAGCGTTCTGCGCTACTAGAAGCGGCTCACTTGCATTATGCATTGTTTTTCTCAGCAGGCACAACCCCATGTCAGACGTACACTCAAACAGGTTTGACAGTCATGTTACCTGAGCTCACGATTATACAGCATAAGTTACTAACAGCCTCCTCCACTGTTACCGGCTTCCTACAGTAAACAGCACAAATATTTTTACCGACCTGTGCCTATTAAATGTCTGAGCTGCAAAACTTATTTTGGTTTTAAACAGACCATTACCTCTCGTGATTGGAAGCAAAGACTTTCTATCCCCATTCACTGTTGAAAACATGGTGCACACAAACCGACGCAGTTCACAATCTCACCCACTCCTCGTTAGACTCCTCACACGCAAGCACAAAGGCTCAGTCCTGAGATGTGCCCAATGCTTCTCTTTCTGGGTCCGCATTACAGGTCTCTCCAGGGGATTTTAGTCTTACCTTACGTCCTGCACAGTAACATGCAATAACTATCACTGCTTTTTTCCCCCCTCCTCTTGCTATAACAAAAGCCCTTCTGTTTTGACTATGCTCCATTAAGACGAGGAGCCATGGGTTAACAATAGCTTGCCAGTATTACAGGGTCTAACCGAACAAGGACTATTTGTTTTCGGTTGGAAAAATACGGAAATGGAAGCATTGCACAACACGCTGATTATCAAGCTGTGTCAATCTACAGGAGATTAAATGTAAGGGACCAGACTGCGATCCTTCCGTTGGGTCCAACCGTTCTGTTTACACTGTATGGTGTTCGCCTGCTCGCATCCCCGCATTCGTGTTTTACCTCCCTTTGAGCACAATGTCCTACACCATTCTTGCAAGCTGAGGGATAGCATTCGGCTTTCTCTTCGAGTTGACAGAAAACTCTACTATTTGCCCTATTCCTGCCCCCTTTACAGCAATGCACACTCCTGTGGGCAGAGCTGCATCTACCTGCTTTTGCTTCCCACAGCAGCCGTGCCATAAACCATCCCCAGGGTTTCATGATGAGCTCCTGCACAGCATTTGCTGCCCAAACAGCTCTTGCTCTCCTCCTTCTTCCACCCAGATTTCCCATTTCGCATGTGCAGGCTCACTGACCTGACGAAAAGCTGCTTTCCATTTTTGGTGGCCAGCAGCTTTGGAGCTGGCCAGCTTCAGCTGACAAAGGGGAAGAAGCGTGCAGAAGCGTCCTCAATTGCCTCAAGCCCATCATGAAGTTGCAACATACATCAAACTAACTCTCCTCTTGCTCTCATTTGTGGGCAGAGGAGGTTTCTGTGAGGCTGGAGTTAGCAGAGCCAACAGCCAGCAGCTTCGCTTCCTGGCGGTGCCGACGTGAGCGTGGTCAGCGTGTACTTGCCACAGCCACGGGGTCAGCTGTCACTGGAGGCCACGCCGGGGCCAGCGACACCCTTTCGGGACCTGCGCCTGACTCTGCAAGAGCACTGGCAAGCAACTCACCTGCTCGGCCAGAACTCAGGGCCGAGTGGCTAGCCATTTCTGCTGCAGGCAACTATATAAATCAGACCTACCAGGGGGTGGAAATTAGACAACACAAATGAAACTGTACCTGTTGGGCTTTTCCCCTCCAGTACGTTAATTGTTTACATTGACTTTTTTCCAAACTCATCTTTCCCATTGCTGAGAGATAAAGGCAGCTGCCGGAGCTCGCTGGCCGCTACCGCAACACGCCCCAATTCACAGCCGCTCTCACCAACAAGCTTTTTGGCAGGAGGAAAGAGCCTAGCGATATTCCCCGGGTGGAAACTGTTGTAAGAGGAACGAAGAAGTAGCCCACGATGGCCGAAATCACTGTCTCACCCAGAATATTCTTTATACTCGTCAGTACCTGATATACCACGAGAAATGCTTGAGCTCTTGAAAGACCTCAGCGGGCTATTCACAAACCGGGCAATTATGCTGTGCTTGTCAAGTGAGCTTACAGTGAATTCTTTTCTTCTGCATTTTCTTCACTTGTCCTGATATTTCACAGTTTTACCCAAGAAAGGATTAAACCTTCCCTAACAATTCTTTATCTCATAGTTTAAAAACAAAGCAAAAATAAAACAAAAAGCAAACCCAAACCAAGATAAACCTCTAGATAAAAACTTAACAAGTGTTACTGGCTAAGTAGAGCAGAGACTGTTTAAGATGACTGGCATAACAATACAATAGTATACTTTTTTTGTAATCATAAAAGCCCCTTCAATGAACAGCAAGATCATACATCTTACATAGTTTGCCTATGAACTACTAAGACGAAGACTACACGTTCATGTGCCTACCCTGGACTTTGTCTGCTAGCGCACATTCATTTATACCTCATGTCTAGGAACAGACAACAAATCCAGACACTTTTTTTTAAATTATTGTATAGAATCTGCCAGATATAGGTCTTTCCCAACCCATGCTTACATGTTAGGAGCCCTTCCTGTGCCCTCCAGAATAAAAAGCTTCAAGAACCACCTAGCTGGAAATGGCAATTTCTCTTTATAATGTTTGCAATGGAGGGAGATGATGGGGAGGGGAAGCCTCTTCCCAAACGCTCTTTAACTGAGTGAGGAAATACTTCCTATCCTGAACACAGAGCAGCAGAGTCCACTTGGCTGCTCAGATGCAGCCACAGCATCAGTGATTCAGTATTGCCAAGTCGGGCCCTTCGTGACCCTCCACATTTCCCAGGTGGCTCCAAGTCTCCCGTAAAAAGCAGACTTCCTCCTCCTCAAGTAAAAATAAAACAAGTTTAAAAACAAACCTAATCAGACATACTATTCATGTAGATTAACTGTAATTCCATTTTATGTTTCAACTGGAGAAGAAATTCAGCAGTTTCCCAAAAGCAATTATTGTGTTCTAAACAGAACAATTAAGAAGCTGTTTAGATGAGCTGAATCTTCTCTTAGCCTCAAGAACTAAAGGGTTTACAAGGCTCAAGTCTGAGGAGTGGACATTAAACTATTCAGGTTACCAAACAGATCAAGTTCTCCACACCGTTAGCCAGACCACTGTGAAAAAGGAAGGTACCACAGCACAACGGACCCATCTTCTGCACGATTAGGTAGCTTTTAACTGCTTGGCCAAAGAACATCTGAAAACGAAACTAAACCCGTCAGATCCGATGTTGTTTCACAGTACTACACGCAAACTCTCTCTGTTAAACGGAAAAGCTGCAATACCTTCGTCGGCTCCTGACTCAGGGCAGCGCTCGCGCAAGAGAAGGCTGCGGGTCAGCAGCAGCAACGCACAGGAATTCACCACGGGCTGAAGCCCAGGGCTCCAGACGTCATCCCGACTATTTCCACTCGCTTACGCCTCTCTGAATACCAGGGCAAACGCGAATGCTGTGCAATCATTTCCAAATTGAAAGGCAGATCTTAGCAAAAATAGTTACCTTCGCTTCTACTTCGGTAGTTTATTAGGAAGATTAGAATTTTACTTCCCTTCTTATTGAGAATTGACCCCAAACTGTGTGCACATGACCTCTTAAGTTTGGAAGTGGGAGCTAAAAGGTACTTAGGGTGTTTTGGTTTGCGTTTTGTTGTTTGTTTGGTTTGTGGTTTTTGTTGTGTTTTGTTTTAAAAACATTTCTCCTCATGCAAAGTTCTGCAAAAACAACTAAAAGTTGCACACCTCTTACTGTAAGGATGTTCACAACTCTGCCAAATTACAAGGGCAGAAATAAAGTAACCCTTTGGATATCTCAGAAAGCAAACAGCTAATGAATTCCATATAGAGATAATCCTGAATGGTCAAAGCAGGAGAGCAGAAAACAAACACAGAGAGCACCCACAAAATCCCTTAATTCAGCTGCAGAAACCTTACTGTCAGTGGGTTTTGTTTCTCTTAATATTTTTACTCGCATAAAGCATTCTTCACCACTTCTTACACTATCCTCAAAACTCTGCCATCTGGTAAGAAAGCAATTAAAACAACAAACTTCCCATTAAACAAAGTGACCAAATACAAAGAGTAGAAAATAAAATTGTCATGATTTCTTTAGATTAATAGGGCATGCCGTAGTACCTCCTGTTTTAAGAATTCTGATGCTGCTCAGTCATCCTGTGACTTAACGTACACTGTCACACAGTAAAAACCACACAGCCATGGTTTGACATTTTCCCTTCATCCAATTCATGAAACAGTACCTGGCCACAGCTGGAGTAAATAGTGAAGAACCTCTATGTGTTTTTTGAAGTCCAGGGCACTAGCAAGCTCTTCTGAGTCCATGAAGACTCTGTTGTTATGGTTGGTGGTCTCCTGCCTCTGGCTCAGTAACACGGGCCCAAAACATACAGCTAAATTCTGACACGTCATCTTATTTACTTCATGGTAAGAAGCCACCAGTTTCAGGTGATCCAACAGCATCTTCAGGGTAGCCTAAAAGAACAAAATACTGCTCAGGAAACAAAACACTAGACAAAGGTGGTGTTGACATCCTAACATCGCTGCTCCAGAGGGGTAAGATCAAGGCTGATCTTACCCCTCTGTTTTAAAACCCCACTATGGGGTTTTCTACCAACACCCATCACTGGAACATCTACGTGCTGCATTAGAAAAGCTGTATTAGACTATCACAGAGCACACTAGTTAAGACAGACTTTCTGGTAAAATTCAGTTTATTTTTACCTGATCTCAGTTTTACATAGATGAGTTTTCTCACAGTGGAAAGGGAACATCAGGGAAGGGAGAAAAGCTGCAGAAGCAGTACAGATGATCCAGGTACATTAGAAAATAAAGAAACCCTCGATATGACCTCGGCATCAGAACAAGCTTCCAGGTAACTTCCAGGTACTGTGCAGGCTACCTGCTCTCCCACAGGCTAACCGTGGGTTTCTACAGAGGTGAACTTGGCAGGTAACAGCGCGCAGCACTATTACACTGGACAATATGGGAAGCAAAGGTTTCATTGCATGGGCTTAGGAACCAGGAATGCATTTGCCCATGTAATTATGACATACAGATCAGAGTGCTCCACAGAAACGGAGCGGGACACGACACAGGAATAATCTTTGCTCTAACAATGTCAAAGTAGCCATCACAGCTTTTCATTCAGTTTTATAGAAACAGTATAAAATGTAAACTAGAATAAATACAGCAATGCAGACTCCCCAGTTAATCACAGTGTGGAAGTATTTTCAAAGACGTAGACCACGAAAAACCCAAGTGGACCGTTAAGTCAGCAAACAGGTGTACATATTTTGACACATTTTATATCCAGCATGAAAATGTTCCTTTATTTTCTGGAGCATGCAATTTGCTTGAACCTGCTAACATCACTCACCTTCTCAACATCTGGTAGGCAATCCAGCAGGGCTGCTGCGTGCTCAGAGTCACTCGGGTCATTCTCACAACCGCTTGTCGTCATTTTCAAGGGATTTTTCATCATGGCATCCAACACCGCTTCGTAGAGCTGCTTGGTTATCAGGGGAGAGGGTAGCTCTCGCAGATAGTCCTTTAGGACGCCTTCACAAGAGACACACAACAGCTGCCTTGAACAAGCTGCAGATTCACTTTCCAGCGATTTTTGGGAGCACTAAGGCACACCAGCTTCACCCGTCCCATGAGAAAACCCTCCGCGCCAGTGACAAACCGCGCACTCGGGAGCAAAGGATGGGAGGACGACAGCAAAGGGGCACAGTGAGCCACGGCTGCGCGAGGGATCCCCGCAGGGTCGGCTAAGAGGCAGGAGGTACCTCTGCAACGTCCCCACGGGGCCGGGGGGCACCCGCGCCCCGTCCCCACAGCCCCAGCCGCTTCGCCAAGCCCATGCAAGGCAGCTCATCACGAAGTGAGGAGTAAAGCCGGGGAGAAAGGTGGGCTGCCTCCAGAGACGAGGGCTGCGTGCAGGGGCTGCTGCGTGCGCAGGAGCGGGCACGTCGGTCACGGAGGGAACGGAACAAGGATTTCTTTGGATCAGGAGCACCCCTCCAGGTCCCCCTCCCGATCGGGGCGAGGGAGAGGCAAGGAAAGGGCTCTTCGCCGTCCACCTCCTGTCCAAGGAAAAGAGCTCCTACAAACACCAAAGTCTTCAGCCTGATGACACCCCCTCCTTTATATACAACCAGCAATTAATTTTTCTGTTCAGTTTATTTTCAGCTATAAAATTATGAGCAAAAAATCCCAGTGCCAGTGGCACGTTGGGTGAAGCACGGAGCGTCTTCTCACCTACCGAAGCACAAACCGGTGTCCTCAAGAGGGAAACACCATCTCCCCTCCCCGCCTCTGGGTACTCTGTACCCCCCAGCACACTCCTCCCTTCTGCTGTGACAAACATAATTCACTGCCACAGGGGACACTGGCTGGAACAGCCACGCACGGAGCCCTCCCAGTTGCAGAGACATACTGGACTGTTTCAGAAGCTGGGGACGTGCTGGAGGAGAGGCTGTTTCTAGGGGATGCAACAACCAGGCAAGCGCCTTGTTAAACACCTATTCCTTCCACTGACACAAACAAGTAAGAAGGAATTAAGCATTTGCATTCTCGTAAGCTAGCTCTAAAGGCTGGCCAGTACTTCAGTTTGAGTGGGGTTTCGGTGATTGTAAGAATAATAATTAAAAAACCCAAACCATTAAGACTTCTAACAGCAGCCCCCTGGAAAGGACACAAGCAGGATGCTGTCCAGGAGCAGTGTATCCACTACAACCGACACAGAAAACTGAGCAAGTCTGCCTTGCAGCAGCTTTTATTGTCCTTAAAAAAAAAAAAAAAAAGGCATTCTGTGCCACAAATATCTACCCATTTTAGCTAGATAACAACTGAATTTAAATACTTCCTTAAGAAGAAACAGTGGATCAAAAAACCCAACTTGTTGAAAGCAGGTACTGTCATTAACAAAGCAGCCTGTCCTCCAAAACAACTTAGTTGGAAAGGTAGAAGATTTTTTTAGTATGCACTCCTCATAGCCTTTTAAAATCCCAAATCACAGCAAAAACCATCACATCGTGCTATTTAGCAAAGCAACAGTTTTTATAAACTCAATCTTTATAACTTAACTGTAAACTGAACTGTATAGCACTGGGTTTTGTTACGAGGTCCTTTCTAAAAAAAAATACAGGGAATGAAAGTTAACATTTTCCCCGTCATAACCACGTTCACATGCAGAAGGCAAGTAGGAGTAAAATACTACCTGTGTAAATATTTTTATTTTTAAAAAAGTACTGCACCGAGCAGTAATGCAGCTATTCAAGCCACACTGCACTGGCAGCACTAGCTGGGGCAGCATCACCTCCCGGAGCTGCCGGACCGCCTCTGTCTTAGTGTAGGGACTGGGGCTGCCAGGCAAAACTTCTGTCTCTGCAGACCGCCACACAGCACCTAATTGCCTGCCCTGTGCTTAAAAGGGGAACTTCCCATCAGGAATATAAACAAAACAAAACAAAAAAAAGCAAACAACCATCCACACATTTTCCTGAAAACATATTCCCTCTGTTTGGAGGGATTGTTGGTTTGGATTTTTTTATTTGCTTTAAAAAGAATATGCCACTTTTGTTACTGCTCCACTTAAGTGGCTAGTTTTGGTTTAATAACTTACTTACATTCCCCTCTCCCCATCAAATTTTACTTCTTCCCCTCATTTTACAGGACCATGTTCCCTGTGTGGATTAGCTGGTTGAAGTATTTATGAGACAGATGTGGCAGAGGCTGGTGATGTACAACACAGTTTGGGATGTTTTCCTTCTTCTGTAAGCAAAACACTAGCAAGAGAAGCTGACTTTTATCAGGATCTTTGTTTCAGCTGTGCTTTTTTTTTTTTTTGGAGGGGGAGGTTGAAATCAGAATCAGCTTACAGCAGGAAATGGAATATCGTAATCAAATCAGCTTATACTGTTTAAACACTTACAACTGTCTATTAATAATCCATTTAGTAGGAATTCCTGTAAATGCATCCATGGTCATAGGACTACCACCTGCCAAAGGACTTTCTCCTGTTTAGCCCTGAATAACAGGATAGTTTAGGAGCCATGAATGCTCCTTGACCTTTCTAAATCCTTTTGCTATTCACTCAGCTAAATTAGCCCTGTAAGAGGCTGCTGTTATTTTTTTCCATGAATCTATGCTCCCCGCTGCTGCCAGCCTGCTAGCACATTCCCCCTGACAACCGCACACAACAAATTTAGACAGCGAGCAGAAACTGCCATCCACTTCATTAATTCCTCATTTTTCTGACCCACTGAACTGTTAACAGTATTGCATGCTTTATGCAGAGATATGAATTCACGTGGATGCGAACAGACATGAGGCAACAAGAAGACTACTGGTCAGTTCCAAAAACTGGCTGCATGCTTCAGTTTGAGCCATGAGCACACTTAATTGTACGTAAGCCTGTGCCAATCCCAAGAACGTTTTTCAGTCAAGATTAAATCATTAAATGTTCATTCTTTAGTCTTTGGAGAGCTGTCAAAAGAAAAAAAAAATCTTTTTAATCTTTTGGAAAAGCAGCACTACTCAAATTTCAAAAAGGACAGAAGGCGGCACATCTCTTCAAATCAGCCAAGATTTATGCTGAGGATTCATATTTTATGGAACACATGTTTTGGCTTATAAAAATATGAATCATGTGCCTCAGCACTGCAAATACAGCAGTAACACATCAGGGGAAACATTCCCCCTCGACCCAGCTCCCTAAGCGTATGCGAGAGGTTTTGTGGGCTCTTTTATCCCTAGTACCAGAGCCAGTGGGTTCCCCTTTCAGCCCAGGCCACGCTGTTTACAGTTAATTAGAGAGTGGGCTGCAGGGGCAGTTCTGGGTGCAAACACCCCTTCCCTTCCCACTCCCCCCAGCTCAGGCAGGACCCCTGCCCTCAGTCCTTGAGTCCTTGCAACACAGCACTGACGCAGGCACTACAGGCAATCACACAGCACAGCTGCAGGGGTACGAGCGCAAAGGATTTTTTTTTTTTTGGTAATTTCTTAAAACTATTTTTCCCTTGTAAGGGAAGTGGCATGTAAGTCAACTCTTGCAATATAACACATACAAAAGCATACCCAGTAGTCTTTCCGTAAGACAGGCTAAGGCTGTCTTCCATAAGACGTAAGGCTGTAGTCTTTTTGTTCTTACAATACGAATTCTGGATGAAAAAAATTATCATTCGGTAGTACAAACCAAAAAAGGACCAGGAGTCTGCAGGACCTGCACAGTCACCAGAAGTTCACCATCACCAATGAGGCTTGCAGCAATGTATATTTGAAAAATTGAAGTACACTTTTCTATGTATCCACCACATCATAAACTCGTGATGGAAAGATCAATCAGACTGTGCCACTGCCCGTCCAGGGCTTCGCATTGCTACCAAACTCTCCTGCAGTTCAGACTTTAGTTTCAGACAGTTCTGGTTGGTTCCAAGTATACAACATACTTGGGAAAATCAAAATGCTTGTGAAATGTTACAAGTTCTTTTGTATATGGATGAGAATTAAGTTCCTATAGCCTTTCCCACAATACTCCTGAACCATTTCTGCAAATACTGTTTTATTGTAATGATTACTTGTAGCATGTGAGTGCAGTGCCATTTTTACCCTTCCAAAATTAAAAAAAAAAACAAAAAAAAACAAAAAAACCCCAAACAAACCAAGAACCAGAAAGTTTTCCACTAGCCAAAAGTTTACACAAACAAAATAGCAGTTCACCATTTGACTGCTTAACAAGTCAGTATCAAACAGTTTTGGCTGTTTGGCAAGAAAGCAACAGAGGATTTTTTCCCCCCTCCACTCCTGAGTTGATTTACAAAAATCGGGAAGAAACAGGACTTCAATAATTTCATGGAACAACCTGATCTTAGAAATTATCACCACTTTTTCTCACTAAATTTTATAAAGAGAAGAAACTCTTCTCTTGAAGAGAATGAGTGAGAAGAAACTCTCCCTCATTTGTAAAGACAAGAAAATTACCCAGTTTAAAAGATCTTTTATACTATTTACTCTCACTGTACGCCTCCTCTCTATAAAGGGTGTCTCCCATCACACTGAAACATAAACACAAGTTTCTGCTGCTGGGAATGCCGGTTCTTGTGAGCAACATTGAACCCAACAGTGAAATCAGCCAAGGCAAGTGAGGTGAACAACTAGCTGGACATTCTGAACCAAAAGGTTTATTTAACCCAGTAAATGTCACCAAGTAATATCTTCTGATACTACTTTGTATAATTATAAAGCGTAATGAACAAAATTCATTCCCAATACACTGAAATGAAGTAAACCCCAAACAGGGTAGAGCTGTCCCGTACAGCTGGATGTCACAGAGAGGGCTTCGGCACAGAAAATTTATACCCTGACTACTGTTGTTGCATTTTCCATCCCTGGATATATAGGAAATTAATGCTCCTGCCTAATTTCCTGGAGCAATTGGTTTACTCAGTGATGCCTGAAATTAGATCAACCTTGGTTTATGTAACAAGTGTCAATAGTTACAAAAGTGTTCCACTTTTAAGCAAATTAAAAAAGCCTCAACAACTTGATTCAGTTGTGCAGTGCAACTCCCATGTAAACGCTCATGTGAAGAGGTGATGCAGATGCAGACAGGCTTCCCAAGACCTCCTGGTCCCGCAGTCCCAGTCCTCCTCACCTTCGCCAGGAGCTAGCAGCCTGACAGCAAGTACAGGGCCACTCCAGTCAGCATGAGGAAGCTGCCATTTAGCTACGTTTTAAAAGCAGCAGATAATCAAATGAAGGCACCTTCCTGCAGCTCTAACTAGCCTGCACAAGACGATAGGAAAACTGTTTTCAAAAATCCTGCCATCTCCAACACAAAGGGAGGACAACGGGTGGACGCGAGACAGCCCTTGGATCCCATGCTGTACAGCGCACGCCTCGGATCACAACCCAGTGTTCCAAGATCCGCCCCAACAGGAGCCAACAGCAGAGGCTTAACCTGCTCCCGGTGCTCGGCTGCCGTCGGACCGCCCGCTCCCCCGTGCCTGGGGCAGCGGCTGCGGGCGGCTCCTCCCACGCCCTCCTCCCCCCAGACCCCCGCTGCTCCGTAGTTACCCGCCCCTGAGGTCACTGCTGCGCTCGTTCGCACCCCACCTTCAGCAACACAGAGCAGCAGCTAACAGCTTGTTAAACGACAACACAAAACTAGTTCAGAGCACAACCGTATGTTAAAAGGTAAGGCAATGTATCACCTGTGATGACATTAATATCTGGGTACTGGCTTTCGCAGAGAGTCACGGCCTTGCTGTCCCTCTCAAACGCCTCTCGAAGCTCCTTCTTAACGGCTGCGGAGCCACACAAGCGATACAGGCCCACCACCTAGGAGCAAAAACAACGGCCCCGCGTCAGTGGCTTTCCTGCAGAGGGGACTAATGACTGACATTATGCTTTGTCTCACCCAGGAAGCGCAACAAACACCTTCAAGCAATAGTTTGGAAATAAACATCATGAGAACTCAAACAGCGCAAACTGTTAACATCAAATGATAAGGTATGTTATCGAACATTACACAAGGGACACAGCTGTGACTGTTAAGCAGTAAGCAAATAACACTCATGTTTTCTGTAACAGCGAATATCTTATCTTAAAGATAAGATGCTGACTTGCACATGTTTCAAATTATATTAAAAGTTTCATGCAAAGCAAGGGTTATTTAACATGCTTAAAGCGATAGAAATGAAACCCACAACACTCTTGGACTGAATTACTAATTCAATCATGTGCTTTCATGCACTAAAATTTTGCATTTTATCATTATTTACCTGTAATTTTCATCAACACAATTTATACAAAGCAATCCTATGATACTAAGGTACTAAATCTTAAATATATTAATTTTTCTTTATTTTAATGAGCTTTATAGGCAGGTATATCAAGCAGTAAGTAGCTAGTCCAAAATTACCATGAACTCAAAAGACAAAAAAAACCCCAAAGCCCCCCAACTTAGACTTGTACTGACTTAGACCATACGAATCTCAGTTTGCAAAGAATAGTATTTGTCTGGCCATATATTAATTCCTGCTTAAATAAATGGAAAGTTACCCAGTGGAATTTGTACCCCCTCTTTCCCAAGAATGAATATGAACCAGTATTTGCCTAAGACAATTTCTTTTAAACTCTAAAGTTTTCTAATGCCACGTCTGAAATTCAGGTGGAGATGACACACTATGACGGTAGTCTGCAGTCTATCGGAAAGTAAAAAATGTCAGACAAGCACGTGGTTAAAACAAGAAGTTAACAGTATTATTTTGCACTTTTGGTTTTCCCTGTGCAAATACACAAATTAGATTTCATGCTCAAAAGCACCAGGTACATTCAGACAATTCATACCCCAATCGCTTCATTACCAGTGTTGCCTTGATTACCCAATATCATTTGCATGACTAGGTGCTAATAAGCCCAAAATAAAATGCTGAAACCATGGGACACGTATATTGGAAAGAATAAAACTTCTCTTTTCTACTGATTTGCATAATGTCAGGAGAAACATTCACAGTAAGAATCACGCAGTTGTTATCCATATAGAATCACAGAATAGTTTGGGTTGGAAGGGACCTTTAAAGGTCACCTAGTCCAAACCCCCTGCTTCCTGCAAAGTAATTACATAAAAACACCATTTCTGTCCATATTTTATGACCTGGGTTATAAATAGCAGAGTTAATCTCCTAACACCTGGAACCGCATCCACCCCGTCAGCAATTTAAAGTAGTAACAGTGGTAGGTGCGATTACTTCTCAGTTTCACCTGAGCAAGAGCAGGTGTAAAAGAAACTGAGGGCTCACACGTGCTGTGCAAGAGTCCTCCCACCAGTTTCAAATGGTTTGTCAAGGGGGACGTCAGTCCTTAGGACTGTGCATCTTCCTTCCTAACAGATCTCTTGTCTAGCATCTGTAAGCAGGGATTCGTTTCCATACCTTGTTTCTTACACATATTTTCGTCCATTAGGTTACATCAACCAATAAACTGTATCAGGAGGAAGAGAAGACACTGGGCACTGCTGCCTTAGGGCATTCATCTCCTGTCCTAGTTTTGAAAACAACCTGAAGAAAGGCAAGTAGCAGTGGCATGGGGAACCAACTAATTCAGCCCCTCAGGGTCTCCTCCTTATCTTAATGCTGTGCACAAAGTGATGGCAGAGACAAGTCTTTGGCACGTTGGCTTAAGACTGCAAACATGTAAGTGAAGTTTCGTCAAAAGACCTGTTCTCATCAGTTTGTGTCACTGCACATGATGCCTCAGTTTCAGGCAGGAAAGAACATTATACTTATTTTTGCATTTAGATACAATATGTCCTTAGGGAGTGACCTGTGTCTCGGGAAATCAGGCATTTTAAAGTTCTCAGCTCTGCTTTCTGAGCACGACTGCAGGCTGCAGGTTCATTTAACCACCCCTAATCCTAAAGCACTAGTGTAAGCATCTCCTGTGAGCAAGCGTGCATCTCCTCTACAAAGGCCAAGCTGGAAGCATTGGTTTCACACAGTCCTGTTATTCTTCCCACATTACAATGACTAGTGTTCAGCAAAGCAAAAAGAAGTGACGTCTAAAGGTGTTTTTAATGTCCCCTTTCCCACTCACTGCTCACACTCTTCAACAACGGCTATCCCAACACAGAAACATTAACAAAACAGACTAAAATACACACGGTACCTGACAGCCTCTCTTTTCAATCTCCAGAATGCATTTCTGCATCAAAAGTGGCACCATCAAGCCTGCATTTTCCTTCTCTACAACTTTTCGAGCATCTACCCCGAACATCACAGGCTCCCGATCTGCATCAAGACCATCAAGAGAGTTCTCCCACTGCTCCATTAGCGATAGCTTGACGTAAATAAGCCCCCTCGGTTCCAGCTTGACAGCCAGCTGATGTGTCTTTGTCACTCGGAAGAGAGTGGGAAGAGCCACGGTTCCATGACAACACACACGATTTTTCCGTGGGGTGGGTTCCCAGCTGAACACCACCAGCTTTAAGTGCTGAGCGTTTTCAATTTCTATGTTGAACGTGTGGTCCATATCTAGAAATGTTGTCCTACAAGTAAGCAGGGCTGTTCTTGCTTTGTTTACTGAGTCAACCTGTATTGCACAAAAGACATCTTTTGAGTCTATTCTTGGTGGTTTTAGGTCTTCAGCACCATAAAAGTGAATGCTCATGAGTCCAGAGATGTACTGGGAGCACTTGGGTTGATCAGAAAAGTTATAGTGTCTGAAAGCATCAATATCTATTTCAGTTTTACCACTGTTACTTGGAAGGCTCTCCTTTCCTTTCCCACACTTGGTTTCATGCCCATGTTTACCTGATTTTGTTATAAGTTCGGGAGAGTCGCCATCACTGAGGTAACCACCTTTGTTGAAGGATTTGGAGCTCCTCGAGCTTTTCTTTTTATACGTGTGTTGCGACAACACGCTGCTGTCAAGATGGTAACGACTTATCACGTTCCTGCTGGCAGCTGTGGTTGAGTTTCCAGAAGATGGCAAAGACACTGCATGGCTTGTATCCTGGCAGCTACCTTTCAGCAGGGAAGGAGGATTATCCGAACTGGTATGGCTTGAAGTTCCCTTGACACTCAGTTTCCTGCTCAGCTCTGGCAGCTTTTTCATTTTCATGGAAAGCTTCCTCACAGTCCTGGGAGATTTAATTCTATCAGGGAAAGGCCAATTGATTGATCCACTTTTTTTCAGAGGACTGGGACTTGGAGGAGAAACTTCTGTTGAGGGTATATCAGCCTTGTGTGCAAGTACAACTCCAGAACCTTTAGAAGAAAAGAGAAAGAATAATCATTTTCAAACCGCTCAGTAACTGCAGTTCGCAGCAATGAAAAAAAAAAAACCCTTGAACTAGGGGAAAAACATGTTGATTTGTCATAACTTGATAAACGCAATTCATTCAGACAACCATCATTCATTCAACAGTCAGATGTTCACGAGCATTCAGAGCTGTGCTCTGCTGACTTGTTCAGCCAAATTTGGCAGTTCATAGTCAAAAGCCAGATTTGTTCTGCTTTATGGAGATGAAAGGGACAGAAACTACATATAAACCACCAAGCTATCTCACCCTCTGCATTCAGCTCGATCTGTTTGTGCTGTATCCTCCATATAAGCAGACATGGCTGCATTCCCAGGGCACAGGTGCAATGAAACCAGTCTTAACTGGGAGAACACTGGAATATGGCAAATGGACCCTCGTCTACAAAGCAGTTGGCTACATAGCCGACACATCAGCGTTGCGCACTCCTCTTGGGTCTAGAGGAAGCACACTTGTCTCTAGCGAAGAATATGGCTGTACTCTTGTGCATGTCCCTCTATTACACCCAAGGGCCGTAAATCCCTCATGTGTAGACGCAGGCAGCAGCTCACACCTTTTCTTCCATTTCTCTCAGCTCCTCCATTCCACCACCGAATGGAGGAAGAGGAACACAACAAGGACTTACTCCTTCCAACAGCTGCATCCTGCACTGCCTCATTCCTGCGAGCAACATTCCATCTTTCCTGGCACAACCATCCCATGACAGGGCTTAAAAGTTACACAGTTCCCAAGTGACATCCTCATGGGAAACCACCCACCTTTCAAGGAATCAAAAAAAAAAAAAACCCAAAACCAGCAGGCACTGATGCTAAAGAGGGAGAAAGAAAAAAAAAGACTCCTTCAATTTAGCAGTAAAAGACAACTAATCAAGGAATGTGATCAGACATAAGCCAGTACGGCACAGTCAGGAACCTGCGGTTCACCTCATGTGCCAATACTCGAGGAAATCCAAATATCAAGTTATAGCTCAAGGTTTTCTCACTCTCACCAGCATGAGGCAGAAATGAATGCAGGAAGGGCAATGAATTTACATGAGTTAATGAAGCATACAAGAGGGGAACTGAGTCCAGAATGATAGGTATTAATAAAGTTACACGAGTATTTTCACTTGGAGTCATTTTTCTATCCCCTAAGAAACCAATAGTGGCTCTTGCTAGCAATAACCACCCCGTTCACTCATGACTTTGCAAATTTTAGTGTCTCCCAGCAGGACTCGTGTAGCCTTGCCTGTGCAGGCTGGGGTACCATGGAGCCCCGAAGCACGCTAACCCTGTGCGGTGCAGCCAGCCCGACCAGCTCAGAGATTCAAACACCTACAGCCATCTGTCATCCCCCCTTGCTAGCCAGGGAAAGGGAGAGTCTATTTATGCCATATAAAAAGGAAGAAAGAAGCACTGTTTTCACAAAATACTCAGCAAATCCCATTTTACAGAGGGGTGTCTTACAGGTTTCCCAAAGGCTTACTACTTTAATTCTAAACTAATCACTTCAAGTCCAAATCACCATACAGCTAGTGATTTTTACAAGTCCAAATTAATTTTCACCATTTAACTGTAATTTACTTTTTATGCTTCACTTAGCTTAAGCAGTTAAATCAGGCAACCTGGTCTTTGACCGAAGTGATTTGTTGTGGTTTTGGTTCCCCCTCCCACCCCCCCAAAGACTAGTTCTAGTCCCAAGAGAAGTTCGGCTTTAATAACTTTTGCAGATAGTTGCTTAAAAGAGTTATCTTTGTAATAGAAAGTTTCAGTTGTGAAGAATAACACTTAGAATCTGTCTTCCAGAGCGACAGAGGAAAATTCATTTAGCCCTGCACCTCATGGAAGCAGTTCCCTCACAGGGGAAGGGCTATTTCTAGCACTCCTGCTGTGCCTTTCTAGCAAGCAGCTAGTTAGAAATGTGGCATTTGATAAAAGCGGACAAAGCCCTCCCTTGTACTGCAAATGACAGCCCGGTCCCACTGGTGGGCTGGCCTGGAGCGCTCTGTAGCCATCAGTGCCATACTTCAGCCCGCTAACATTAATCTTCCCTTTCTGTCAAGAGTCTCTGGCACAGGCTTGGAAAAGCAGGCCAGCAAATTAAACTTCCCCCCAGCTCATTAGAACCGAAGAGTCAATCTAACACTCTTTTATGCGTCCAACTTCCGCTGCGTTCAGCACCAAACAGTTAAAATGAAATACGTGGCTGGAAGAAACTTAACCGGGGAGCCTTGTGCAGGATGGTGTTCCCATCAGCACCGAGCCACATGTTGTTGGGCTAAAGCCAGCAATGTGCTGAGGCTGGCACACAGTTTTAAAGAGCGTACAGGACGCAGCTCGGAACAAGCTGCAAAAGGAGCACAGTCCGGTAACGCTTCACTTCCCAGCCTACCCACCCGAGACAGCTTTCTCACCAGGGTGCCAGAGGAACTTAGCTGCACCTCGTTCCTTTAACCAAGTTACATGGCTGCGCTGAAAACAGGCTTCGCACCGCGCCCGTCCCCACTCGCTCTGCCACCACACGTCCCACCTCGGCACGTAAGCTTTAAAAATACCCGTACAAAAGGATGGCAGGACGAGATGAAACATGGGAGGCACCTGTCACGTAAATGACTACTAAGGCAGCAAGGGGATGGTCAGTTTTATATGATGCAGCTGACTTTTTATATATATATACACACACATATATAAGAAAACATAAAATCTATTTATTTTTATATATCTAATTTATTTTTTACAGTGGGAGCGATCAGTCACTGGAACAACGTTCCCAGGTAGAGCCCCCGTCACTGGAGGTTTTCAAGATGCTACTAGACAGGGTGCTAGGTAATCTCATTTAGGCTCCCTTT